CAGCCAGGAGCTGAGCCTGGAATCTGCTTCTCCTTTGTGAAGTAGGTGGGTCAGGGCTGTGAGGGATTCAAGACTCGCTGGGCCAAACCGAGTTCTCTGTGAGCGAGAAGTGGACAGGGAAGAACTTTCTTACTGACTTTTTGGCCATGGCAGAGCCCCCTCTAAAGAGATCACTGGACTAACCTGGGGCCTGCTTTAGGAAGCCCAGTGTGATGTGGAGGCTGGAGGCTTGGGGTCCAGTTAACAGGCTGCAGGTTTTGTACATGTTCCTCAATGTTTTCATCTAAAAAAATGGAACTAAAATTCTCTCTCCTATTTCCCCCTGGCTGTGGTGGCTGAAAAGTCCAGGGAAGGCTCAGTGGTGTCCAGCCCTTCCTGCAGGTGGCTTCATGTGGCCTGCTGCAAAGTGAGCCCTTACTCTGTCCTGTGCACAAATGATCTGTCCCTGCCACCTCCAGCAGGTCCAGGGACAGCAGATCAGGCCACACCGTCCCGGAAGGAGGTACACACTGTTTACAAGGTGAGGACAGACAGCTCCTGTAGGGCAAGCCTGGGGCAGATGCCACTTTCTTCCTCTGTAGGGCTGATAGCAGCTCAGAGGGGTTAGCAACTTGCCTAAGGACACACAGCACTAAGTCATGCAGCTGGGACACAAACTCTGGTCTGACTGTCCCACTGGAAGTCTGGGTTCTCTGAGCTCCCTAGCGGGCACTCCCATGCCCTTGTTCTGAGCCATGACAGCACACCCATGCTCAGTCCACGGGGCCCCCTTTGCTAGGCTGGGTCTAAATCACCTTGCATTTTCCCACCTCTGCCTCTGAGCCTTTGCTGGAGCTGTTCCCTCTGTCTGGAATGGCATTTCTTTCCTAAAGGACTTCTGGGCCCAGGCCTTTGTGAAGGCTTCCTTACGTCCCTCTTGCTGGAATCCCTGAAATGATGCATATCCCATTCTGTCTTGTGTCTGTTGGCTACACTAGACCATGAAATTCCATGGGGACAGGAACCCTGGTAGGGGTCTGGAAACATTGTAGATGTGCCTCAGACATCTACTGACATCCCCCTGGGGCCACAGTGCATTCAAGTATGCAAAATGCTGATCCACTTGGCCATGTCTCATTTGATCCTCCCAGAGGCCCTTCCAGACAAGGACCATGCAGACCAAAGAGGAGACATGGCCTGTCTAGATCTGACAGCTTAGAGGGACATTGGGGAACTAAAGCCACATCTCATCAGGAGCAGGAGAAGGGCTGGGCTGCAGCAGAGAGCACCAGGGCTGCAGCACATCTTCTCCTCCATAATGGGGTGTGGGTACCAGCTGGCACCCAGCCGTCAGGAGGGGGAGGGAAGAAGGGGGAGGAAGGGCTGGTCTAGTGGAAGGGGGCTGGCCCTAGCCTTCAGAAGACCTGCTCGCTGGTGCGGCTCTGACTTGGAAAGCTGATCCCTCTTGGGAGCGCATGCCACAATTTGAGCCTGTTTTCCCCCATGAAGGAATTCCTCTGCATCACCTGTGTTGGTTCATTCAGCCCAAATTCACTGACTCCGCCCTGCAATGTTGGCCCCTCAGAATACAGAAAGGAGCGGGACATGGGCTCTGGCTGGCGAGGTGTGGGCTGGGGAGACGGACAGATCATATGTGGAGATGGGGGTACAACATGACGGGTACTGTCACAGGGGGTCTGGGACAACGGAGGTGGAGGGAGGAGCAGGGTCAGGGGCAGGTGGGAAGTACTTGGGCTGAGTCTTGAGAGGGGACTGGGAGTTCTCCAGGAATGTGCATGTGGATGGACAGTGTATGTGAAGGCCCCGAGTGGACAGCTTGAGGGGACTGCGAGGAGCTCATAGCCCGGGAACATGGGCCCAGCGTGGAGAATCTGGGGGGTGGGTGAGGTCAGCAGGGACGGAGGGAAGGGGGCAGGCTGGAGGACAGCCGAGAGGCCCAGACTGTCCTGTTAGTGCTGGGCTCAAACAGCGTAAAAACTTTCAGAAGTCAGGAAGTGCCGTGGCCCCGAGCTCAGACCCGGAGAGAAGAGGTCGGGGTTGGGAGGCTAGCTTTCCTGATTCCTGGTTTCTCTGTGGCCTTTGATGGTCATGCCTAGAACTACAGGGAGAGAGCAAAGCTCAGAGGCTGGTGACTCTGTGACCTCTTAGGGATGTTGACCCAATGGAGGGAGTGGAAGGTGACTTTGGGGCAGATGGAGGGTGCAGGAGGACAGTCTGCAGGAGGTGTAGCCTGTGCAAAGGCCAGGGCCAGAGAGCCTGGCTTAAGTAGGCCAGGGGCAGCCTGGCGGGCAGGGGTGAGCTGGAGACATGGTGGAGCTGGGTCAGACCCTCAGCCAGCCAGGCCTGGCCCCTGTCCTCCTGGGCCCGGGCCCAGCCAAGCGGTCCCCTCTCTGCCTGCACCTCCCTTTTGTCCTCCTCGGGAGCAAACCTCCCCAGCAGCGTTGGCCTGGAGGGCCACCAGAACCTTCAGTCTCCACCAGCCTGGCTGTGTGACCTCGGCCAGCTCGCTCCTCCTCCCTGGGGCCCTCTGGGCTCTGAATGCTGGAATTGCTAGAGTTGATTTCTGGGCTCCTGCTTTCAGCTTCTTTGATCTAATTCTTGCAGCTTAAATTGCTTCCTGAGCAGGCCCTGCCGGAAACCATGATGCTAATGGCTCTCCTGGTGGCTGGGTGCCAGAGCCCAGGGGCTGGCTCTTCAGGCACCCCCTTCTCTTTGCCTCAGGCCTCCAAGACTGGAGGGTCGGTGGGAAGGGGCAGGGTTATTGGCCTCCCTGAGCAGAGATGGCCAGAGAGGTTAAGTGGTTGGCTTCAGGTCACACAGCAGTGGGACAAGCGGGCCCCGTATGCTGTATGGCAGATGAAGTGGCTGTGGGCCCAGGGCAGAGGACAAGCCAGCCCTCAGCCCCTCGGCAGGCAGGGACCATTAGCCATCCCATTTCTCCCTGCTGTCTATCCACGTTCCACCCTCACCGCCCATTCTCACCTCCTTCCCTTCCTGTTTCTCCCCTCCATTGAATCCCCACATCTTTTCCTTCCTGCGGGGCTGGCTCAACCAGGGTGTCTGGGGTGAGGCCTGCCCTGCCCAGCATTCGGCCCCTCCTCCTGCACTGCGGGGTCACCAGGCCAAGGTGGAGGCACCAAAGTCAGAGGTGTGGGGGTTCACATCCAGACTCTGCCATGGACCTCAGGCAAGTTGCGTCCCCTCACTGAGCCTCAGTTCCTTTTCTGAAAAAATGGCGACTGTGAGAGGCCTTCCCAGGAGATCCTATACATAGACCTCTAGCCAGGAGGTTTACATATGGCAGGTGCCAGAGAAATGGAGTTTCTTTCTTGAGACTGAGAGGTGGCTTGTCTACTTCTCTTCTGCCTCTTCCCTCTGGCCCGCTAAGGAGTCTCCTCAGACTTTGATTAATTATAACGGTGTCTTCCAGTTATTGAAGCAACATTGTTCCCATCATGGAGATGAGAAAAGGGGGACTCAGAGAGGTTGAGTGACTTGTTCAAGGCCACACAGCATGTGAGTGGTGCAGCTGGGACTGGCACCCACATCAGTCTTGCTTTCAAACTTGTGTTCACCCCCAAAGGCAGCCTACCTTGCCTTAGTTTCCTCAGCTGGGCTGGGAAGGTGGGTGGGGCCTGTGCTTTGGAAGGTGGGGGTTGTGGTCCTGAGCAGGCCCCATGATGAATAGACCTGGGGATATGGAGCTTCCAGAAAGAGTCCGAGATGCAGGGACATAGATGGTGCTGTCAGTCAGGTCCCTGGTCATTCGAGCATCTCTCCGGGTACCTGATCTGTCAGGTCCAGGTGGCTGCTGCTCCCTCCCCTCCCCTCCCTTCCCCTCCCCTCCTGGAACCCTTTCCTGGCCACAGCAGTCCAGGCTGTATCTCTTGCACAGCATGTGGCTACAAGGTTCAGGGTGTTGGACTGTGAGGGGCTGACGGGAGGATGTTGCTGGGTACAGCCACCTTCTGTGTCAGGCTCTGTGCCAGGGCTGCACTTGGGTTCAGGTATAGACAGTGCTGCAGAATCTGGCCCTCACAGGGAGTGGGCCTGCTGAGGGCCGAGAACAGCAGTCCAGGCTGAACACAGGGATATGAGGGAGGTGAGTAGACCACTGGGGGCTTGGTTTGGCCCTTAGGGGACCCCTGAGGGGGAGGGTAGATTGGAAATGGGAGATGGGTGAGGACCAGCACTAGAAGCCCCTGAAGCCCGGGAAGAGGATGTTCAGGGGTGTGAGGCACTGCAAGGTCTGGGAGGCCGTGTGGGTGGGAGAGTCTGGCTTTGGAGATTGGGAGGGCACAGGTGGGGGTTGGGGTCCTCAAGGGAGTTTAGACCCCCGGGACTGAGGAGCGATGATTGTGCTCCCTACGGAATGGGAGACATTGATTCCAGAAGGCGGAGTGCTGGAGGGAGGAGGCAAGAATGAATGTGATCGATGGCTGAAGGGGGCTCCAGGTCAAGGTTCTTCCACACTGGACAGAGATGTGCGGCTCTGGGCTAAGGCGTTAAGGACCGGAGGAGAGAAACTTGGAGACTATGCTGCTGTTTTCCTGTGGGCATGACACCAGCCGGGGAGCTACCTGGTCAGCCACTGGCCTGATTCCGCCCTGATTCTGCTGGAGGTGGGGATGGGGGGGAGGGGGCTGTCTAGGAAGGCTGGTGCAACAAAGGAAGGGAGGGTATGAGTGCGGCCAGGCGGCCTGAGCACTATTGTGCTTGTGCCCTTGGCCTTTTGGCCTGCAGGTCTGGCGTCACCTCAAAGCATTAGAAATGAGGAAATTCAAGAGTTAGGCTGGTCATTTCCTCTCTCTCCCTGCTCTGCGCTACCAGCTGTGTGACCTCGGGCAGGTCTCTCCTCCTCTCAGCCTCAGTTCCTGGCTGCTCGATGGGGATGCGGATGCCCATTCCCCAGGGCTGCGTGGAGGGGCCACCTCACTCAGCGTCCGTGGGGAACTCCGGTCCTCAGGAAGTGATGATCTAATTGCCTTCTGTCCTCCCAGGTGCCCCAGGAGCCGCCCTCCGCTGCCTTGACTTGGTCTCCCCTCCCAGGGCAGCGGCCACCATGTTCTCGTGCGTGAAGCCCTACGAGAACCAGAACTACTCGGCCCTGAAACGGGCCTGTCTGCGCAGGAAGGTGCTCTTCGAGGACCCCAACTTCCCAGCCACTGACGACTCGCTGTACTATAAGGGCACCCCGGGGCCCACCGTCAGGTGGAAGCGGCCCAAGGTCAGTGTCTGGTCTGAAGATCCAAACCAGAGCCCATACCTACCTGGTCTGCAGGGGACAGTGGGTGGCTGAGAGGGGTCCTTCCCAGGCTTCAGGTAGCTGAGAAAGTGAATGCTGGGCCCGCCTGCTGTGGGATTTCATCGGGATGGGAAGCTAGGAGAACAGGCCTTCCTTCCACGGCCACTACTACCCAGCTGGGACCTCGCCCTCTCTCTGGCCTCAGCTTCTGCCCTGCCACTGTCCTCCCAGGGTCGTTTTTGGGATAAAGATGAGGTGATGTGGATGTGACCTTTTTTAGTGCAATGTAGAGTGCCATTCAAGTGTAAGGAATTCACTTTGCTGATTATCATTGCGATGATTTTGAAATAGTCATTTGCTGTACATGAAAGGTATTTATTACAATGGTTAATCAGTAATAATAGTAGTAGTGAAAAATAATAGTACCTCAGAGGGTTGTTGTGAGCATCAAAAGAGATGATGCGTGAAAGGGTCTGGCACCGAGCCCAGCACCCATAGGGGCAGCTGTCACCACTACTGTTGGGGGTTGTGAATTAGGGAGCCCCTGTCTGGTGGCTCCCCCTGGCCTGGCCTTGGTCGCTGACACTGGAATGTGTTGAACAGACGCATTTGGCCTCGTGGCATGATTTCATCCTCTTTGACCCTGATTCCTGAGTGTGAGAGTAGGTGGTTGGATGATGTGGTATCCCAGGCCCCCTCCTGGTTTCCGCAGCCTTGCTGGTGACACTGAGACTTGGTCACACCCGAGGGAGTTTAGTGCAGGAGACTGTGCTGGACCCAGGTGCCCAGGGCTGGGAGGAGACTCCCCTGCCTGGTGCTCAGAGGAGGCGTCTCAGAGTTGAAGGGTTTTCAGGGTGGGAAAAAAACGAGGCTTGAAGCTCTCAGGCTTTCTGGGGACGTGGCAGGAGCATGGGGCGTGTAGAGGGGAGTGAGGGGAGGAGGAAACCAGGTCCCTGGTGCACGGAGGCAGCGGGAGCCCTCGCAGGCCGGCTTTCAGCAGTGTGTGCCAGGGTCACATTTGCATTTTAAAAATTTCCCTCTGGTCCCCTGTACATTTCAGAAGTATGAAATTTAGTTTTCAAGTTCCTCTCATAGACTGTGATCTCAAGTCCCTTTCAACTCAAAAAATCCTGTGTATTTTCTTGGACTGGGGCACTTTAGAGGTAAGAAAACTGGGTTTGAGTGGGGAGCACACATACCCTGATTGCCCAGCGAGCGGGAAGCAGAGCTAGGCTGGGACCCCAGAGTCCTGCCTTTGAGCCCAGGACCCTATCTCCCCTGGTCCACCTCCCCAATACTAGATAGAGGGTCCCTTGAGCTGTGCTGGAATCTCTGACCCCTGCCTGGGTTCTCCGGAACTCCCAGCAGCCTCCTGGCCTGGCCCCAGACCCCTGCCTCTCCGTGCAGCCCCACCCCCATGCCTTCCTCCTTGTCTTTTGTCTGGTGGGTGGAGAAGGAGGCCAGTCTCAAAAGGCCTTTGTGAGGCTCTGGGTCCTGGGACAGGGGAGACACTTGAGCTCTCTGCCCTCCTCTTACTCCATGCCTGCCCCCATCCTGACCCTCTCCTGCCCTCTGGCCATCCCCGAGACAGTTTAGGTCCCGTGGCTCTGGAAGGAGGCTGGCCTGGCCTGGCTGGGGATACTGGGCTTGGTGCAGTGAGAGGAGAAGAGGAAATGCCAGGCTGGCTGGGCTCTGCATCCCCCTGCTGTGTGACTCTGGTGGAGTCACACGCCCTCACTGGGCCCGATTGTCTGCCAGTTCAGGAGTCCTGCCATGCTGTACTTTCCTTCACTGCCTTCCTCACTAGACTTGGTGCCTAGTCCTTTCTAGACATCGAAAGAGGAGGAACAGGGTTGCCCCTGCCCTGGATGTGGAGGCCGGTGACACACAGCTTGTCGTGGTTGGTGTTAGAGACAGATGTCTGAGTGGAGCCAGGGGCGGCAGTGGGGCATCAGTTCTGGGCTGGAGAGGCAGTTCAAGGCCAGGCACTGCTGAGCGATGTTGAATGAGGGGGTGAGAGCGCGTGGCCCAGGGCGTGATGGATGGCCGGTGTGTAAGCAGGGCTGCAGGGTGGTGGCAGGGCTGCTGTAACAGGCAGGCCCGGCTCCACTGACCGGATGCGGGGTTGGTGGAACAGGAAGTCTGGCTCACTTGCTTCAGGCGGGTGGAATAGGGCCAGCCTGGTGGGGTGACCATTAACTCCCAGCTGCTTGGCCTGTGGCCAGTGAGATGGAACTTTGGCCAGACGCAGCCTTGTTTCTACTGAGTCCTACTTCCTGGGTCTTGTGACCTGGCTATTTACAAATAGAGTAAAAAGCCAATTTTCTTGAAGGCCCAGAGAACCTCCTCTTTACTCCCATCTCACCCCCAGCTCCTTCTCTTGAAGTTAGTTAGTATCGTGGCACCTCTATTCTTGGGGGACCTCCCTGCCTGCTGGCCTCCCTTTTCTTTGTCTCAAAATGGAATGAGGAAGCTGGCTTTTGAGGCTGGCTTGGCCCTGCCTTACAGGAGGTGTGACGTGAGCAGTCACTTTACCTCCCTGGATCTCATTTGTCTCATCTGTAAATGGGGGAGAGTAGTTCTTGCTGCTCATGGTTTCTGGAGGTTGAAATGACTTGAGGTATCTGTGGTGTCAGACACATAGGAGGCAGATGACAAACTGGCTCCCTGCTCTGGCCCACCTGCTACTGCCAGCCCAGTATTGGGGACCCGGAGCTGGCCCTGCCTGGAAGTCCCATCTCTTTGGACTCTGCAGGTGGGGCCAGGCCTGGTCCACTTCAGTCCCACCCAGGGCACCTGCCTGGGGCCCACACCCTCCACCTCCTCACAGGTCCGTTGTTTATTTGTTCTTTCCCATTCAGTAATCTGCTGGCCTCCCTCACAGGCCTGGCCAGGGAGATAGGAGGAGATAAGAGATTAGAGGGGAAGGTCGATGACTCAAGGGGTGACTCAGGGGGAATACTGAGGGGGTGGATGGAATGGGGGGGCTTCCTCCTTCTCAGGCTCAGGACCTTAGTACAGTCCCTTCTCATCCCTGTCGGGGCAGAGTACCCCCCACCTCCCACCCTGCGCTCTGCCTCTCCCCATCTCTGGAGACAAGCCTGCAGGTCCTTTGATGGAATTAAGAAAGGAACTAGTAGGGATCCTACAGACACCAGTTTTGGAACCTCCCAGAATTCTCGCAAGGTGGTGGTCGCCAGCCTCATGCCTGGGGCTCAGGCTCACACCAGCACCTAGAGAAGGCCCCTCTCCTTGGCTGTGCTGAGCAGTGGACCCCTTGATGCCACAAGAGAGGCAGTTTGTGCTAAGTCCAGCCATCTGGGCCTCTGCCCTGCCCAGAAATGATCCCCTCTGGGCGTGTGCTCAGGTGGCCCTGGAGGATGGGAGGAGAGGGGACATGGGGTGGGGAGACAGGTCTGTTGCAGAGAGGGCAGGGCACAGGCTGTAACTGCCGAGAACATTGCCCTGTTTTCCCATCCCAGGCAGAGGTCCTGCTTCCTTTCTGAGCCTTAGTTTCCCCAGTTGTCGAGTTGATTCCTGCTGTGAGCTTGGATTCTGGGAGGGAGGTGACGGGGTGAAGGTGGATGGACAAGGAGAAGCGGGAGTGGATAGAAGGGGCAGAAGGTGCCCTGAATCCACTGGCTTGCTGCCTTCCGCCTTGTACACCAGGTCTAGAAACCTGAAATTCCGGTTGTGCCAACAGAGGAGGTAGTTACGGGCTGTGACCTGTGTCTGGTGGAGTGGGTCTAACAGGCTGGGAGGGGCTGAGAGGTGACAGGTGACTGCAAGTGCAGGAGGCTGTTTCCCACAAAGGTATGTTGACCAAAAGAGCGGTCACCCCAGCCCTGGGGGTGGCCTGGCCCAGAGCTCCCAGCAGCCAGTCCAGTCCCATCCTGCAGGCCACTTTGCTGTCCCTTCCTCTCGGGGCTCCTGCCCGCATCCCCAGTAGCACCTGCCAAGCCCTGTTCCTGACACTGGAGGTGGGCAGAGCCAGGCCTGGGCCCTGCCTGGGAGCTCAGGCTGATGGGGGAGACTCAAAGGCGAACCTCAGTGTGGACAGCGATGGGAGGGAGAATGGTGGCTGGGGGTCCCGGGGAGGATGATGTCAGAGGCAGCATCTGTCCGAGGCTGAGACTGGATTCCATCTTGGGGGGAATTTGGAGTCTCCATTCCCCTCTGGAGCCTCCCTGCCCACCAGCCCGCTCTGTGCCTGCTCTGCTGGTGTCACCGCCTCCAGGCAGCCTCTTCCGATCTCTCTTGGTCCTGTTGTCACAGCTATGCTCACATGGAGGGTCGCAGTCAGGCTTCTCCTCCTCAAGAGCTCTGCCTGTGGTCTGGGAACTGCCCTATCTGGATCTGTGCTCGTGTGCCTGCCCAATGACCCAGGGAAGGTGGAGGAACAAACTCTGGTCTTGAGAATCTGGGCCCTATGGTGACAAGGGTCTGTACTGCCCCAATCCCTTGGTCTCATTGCCATATAGCAAGTCCCCTAAGTGGGGCCAAGGACAGGTGCAAGGGGGTGGGTGAAGGAAGGGTGGCTTGTCACTCATAAATCCTGGCCCAGCTGGAGGCTCTGAAGGTGACTGTCTGAATTGGAATCTCAGTTCATCTCTTCCTCTGTGACCCTGGGCATAGGACTTAACCTCTCCGTGCCTTGGTTTCCTCATCTGTAAAATGGGGATGTTAACAGCACCTGTCTCTGCACAGCTGAGCACACAGCCAGTGCCCAGTCACTAAAACTGTTTCTGTGATTGTTCCATCCAGGGTGACCCAAGGTGGCTGCTGGACCCCAGGTGCCACCAACTTCAAATGGCTTCTCTAGCTTGTGCTGCAAACTTGCACCTCTCCTGGTAGTAGGAACACACCCCAGACTACTTTTTCTTCTCTGCTCCCTCCCAGGCGGGTGGATTTGCCTCAGGTCACTGCTCTGCTACAGCAAGTCAGGGCAGTGCTGAGCCTGGAACCCGGGACTCCTGACCCCTGAGCTCAGTCTCTCCTAGAGGCCAGAGAAGTGTCTGGGGCCAGAGCCCTGTTCTGGGGCTGTGGGACCAGGCTGGAGTGGCTGCATCTGCCCACAGGCTGCCCTGGCGGTACTGCTCAGTGGGGAAGAGAGCCCTATTCGAGGAGCTAGGATCTGTCTTATTAGTCCACTTGCCTCATGACCCTGGGTGTCAGTGGCCCCTCCTGGGCCTCAGTGTCCTCTGTGGGATGGGTGGTCCCATTTCTGTGCAGTGCCCTTACTGGGAGGATCTAAAGGGAAGGGTGCCTTGGAGGTCACCTCCCGTGACCCCCAGGTGGTCCCTGTCTCTCTTAATACGGTAGGGATGGGGCCGGGGTCCTCCAGATATGAGGCCCCCCCCTCCACCCTCGTCCTGCTGTCCTGCCTGCCCTTCTGGGCCCCAGGGAGGCAGATGCTAAGTCATGGCACCCTCTGGCTCAGAGTGCTGGGCTGGGCTTGGTCCAGGGCCTGGGAGATAAGATAAGGAGGGAGGCAAATTTCTCATCTGCTTCCTGAGGCCTCGGGGTTTCTGGTCTCACTGGTTTTCCATGACCTGTGGCAGGATACTCAGACCTGTGGCATCTGTACTCTGGGGAAGCTGCCTTGCAGCTTGACCTGGGGCCACCCTGAAGTCCCACCTGGAGTGCTCCTGCCCTCAGGGGAGTTATGGCCCTCAATCTGGCACTTCCAAACTCTGGTTTTCCCAGGCAGAGGTGGCAGCAGGAGTCCCAAACACCTTAGTGAGAACTGATAACCCTTTGCCCCATTTTCCCCTGAAGAGTGCCCTGCCTCCAGGATCTGTGGACTCCTTACACAGCCCTATAAAGGACAATAATCTACCTCATTTGCGCAGGAGAGAAAATGGAGGCTCAGAGAGATTGAGCCACTGGCCCAAAATTGCACAGCTGTTAAACGGGGAACAGGAATTTGAATTCTGTTTTCCTGACTCTACTACCCTCTGCTGGCTGCCTGTGGTAGGACCTCAGTAGCTCTGTTGTGATTGAGCTGGTTCAAGAGTACCACCTGAAGTGGAGGCAGGCCAGTGTTGTGTGGCTGGGGCCTGTGATGCAACCTCTCTGGGCCTCAGTGTCCTCATCTGTAGAATGAGCACAATGCCCACCTTTCAGGACTGTGGTGAGGATATTGATCATGGTGCCATGAGGATGTTGGTCATGTGGAAGGCATGTCTCAGTGTTTACTTCCCCCACCCCCTATTGTCCCCCCTCTCTGGAGAGCAGTCACTCGCTCTCAGTTCTGAGGAGTGAAGATGTTGATGGGGAAGGAGGAGGGGCCCAAGGTGGGTCCTCCAGGTGCTCTGTTGGTGTCAGCTCAGCACTGCTTGGCATTTGCTTGCTGTGTGCCCTTGACAAGTCACTTTCCCTCTCTGAACCTTCATTCCTTCTCTGTAAAGTAGAATAACAGAGCTACAGTCCTCAGAAGGGGTGAGGGTCA